CCAATGGAAAAAAGACAGTCTCTTCAACAAATGGTGTTGGGGAAAAAAGTGAATATGGTACTCTTAATACTTACAAACTCTTACCATGGGTAGATGGTTGGAATTGTCCATGGTGTGGACTCCAAAATAAAATTTAGCACTAATTATAATTAGAGATGCTGAAATCCCACTGTCAAATTCAAAATGTTTTGGGGTAGAGCCTGAGAGCATCTCTGTAGTTTAGAACATACATGATTGAGCATAAAGTCCATGAGGTAGGTACCACCTTATCTATGTAATTCCAGGAACAAAGTGTTTGCCCCATAAAAACGTATTCAAAATAATTTTTTAAAAATTGAACTAAACTAATTAAACTATCCATTTCTTCCAAGAGCGAGTTCTCTAACAGAGTAACCACCTGAAATGGGGTTTCTATAAACTAAGATGTGCAGAAATTATAAAGTACACACTGGATTTCAAAGACTTAATATGAAATCAAAAACTGTGAAAAATCCCGTAACTTTTATATTGATTACAAGCTGAAATGATAAGATTTGGATATACCCGGTTAAAATTGTTTTCACCTATTTTGTTTTACATTGATATGACTATTATGAAACTTTAAATTATATATATGACTTGCATTATATTTCTAGTAGATAGCACTACTCTAAGGGAATTCCTTAGAGAATTCTTCAATGTTCCACAGGACACTTCTGAAAAATTAATGCCTTATATACAAACTGAAAAAAATCCCAAACAGTCCAGACACAAGTGACAAAGAAGTAATCTCCCAAGTTTGCTTCCCACGCCCCCCCCATCTGTAATGAAAAACTGCATTCTTTTTGAGTTGAGGGTATTATTTACATAAAATAATTCAAATTGGAGAGGTTTTCAATTGAAATGAATCTTAAAAGAACCAATCCAATACTACATACATAAGAAAAATGAACTCTTGGGGCGCCTGAGTGGCACAGTTGGTTAAGCATCCGACTCTTAGTTTCGGCTCAGGTCCTGATCTCAGGGTTGGGAGATCGAGCCCTGTACTGGGCTCCACACTCTTTGCAGACTCTGCTTGAGATTCTCTGTCCCTCTCTCTGACCCTCCTGCTCGTGCTCTAAAATAAATAAATAAATCTTTAAAAAAAACCTTTAGAGAGTTCAAATAACTTGCCCAGTATTTACATCAGTGTCTAAATGGCGGGGGGGAGGGGCACATATAGCTCTTCTGCCATTTATTCTAGAACTGTTTCCACTTTACCCAAGTATGGATAAAACATCACAGAATTGGGCTTCCAATGGTTTGAGGATAAAAACTACTACAACCTAATGGCTCTAATCCTGGCTGTACAGTATAATCCTCTGGGAAACTTTTTAAAAAATATTGTGCCTGATCCCAATCTCCAGGGGTTAATCAACTATTTATTTTTTAAAAGAGATTCTAATGAGCAGTCAGGACTTGGAATCCACTGACCTATGTTACCCAGAAGCAAGCATAGGCCTATTTTGAAACAACTTTGTAGTTACAATTCAATAAGCAGGTGACAAAGAAGAAAGCACTCTGGTTTTCAAACCATGGCAGCTTCAAGTTGCAAACAAAAACATCTGATGGTGATATGCAGCCTATAGGCATTGGTATATAAGTGAACTTGTTATCACCAGTCATCAGCCCTAATTGTTAAATATTTTGAACATCACTCGGAAATTTCATGTAAATCCAAGGAAACACAAAGAAGATGGTATATTAGTGTTGGTCAGAATTTTAAGTTTAAAACCAATGTAATTCATTTTACAAATGAAGAAAAAGACCCAGAGAAGGAAATGTGACTTGCCAAAAGTGACAAGCCCAGTTAATAGGAAGTCCAGACTGGATACCAGGAGAACTCTAGAAATGTCTCCCCATCAAGTGCTTTGTGTGAACTGTGTGTTGCACCCCAATTAGAGGATTACAACCTCTACTTCCTTATTTAAATGAAATAGAATGGAATAGACTAGAAAATGTATTATTCTATGAAACTGTTCTCGTATACACATATGTGCACAGTCATAAAATATATATATACATATACTTTAAAGATTTTATTTATTTATTTGACAGAGACACAGCAAGAGAGGGAACACAAGCAGGGGGAGTGGGAGAGGGAGAAGCAAGCTTCCCGCGGAGCAGGGAGCCTGATGCGGGGCTCAATCCCAGGACTCTGGGATCATGACCTGACCCGAAAGCAGCTGCTTAACACTGAGCCACCCAGGCGCCCCCATAAAATATATTTCTTAGTGTGACTACGGCAAAAAGAAAAGTTTAGAAAAAACTATATCCCATCACTCTGCAGGAGACAGGATCAACAACAGTCTCTAAGCCACAGGGACTTTCCCAGGAGTGCTCCAATGACCCCTTTCCAGATTAAAATGCTATTGTTTCAGGACTATTCTATTAAAAAAAGATAATATTAATGGGAAAAATCTTAATAATACAAGTCAAACCTTATAACAGGAGTAATCCTTTCAGTTTCCTTCACTGTAAATGAATCTGGTTCTCTTTTGCATGTTTTACATTTTGATTAATCCCGTTTTTCAATTGTAGGAGATAATGTTAGTTCATAAAAGTTACCTGGTGTTCTGCTTCCTGGAACTTTCATGTACAGTTGAACTGTGTTCATGCCCAGTATGGTATGACCAACATGGCTTAGAAGATTTCCTGCTGATACGACACGCACAAAAGCAGGAAGTTTAGTCAGCTCATGTAGCTGCAACTTCCATCTGCAATAAAATAACAACAAATCAAGAGTGAAATCCTGCTACAAATATTTGTGGAAGTTAGCCATTTCTTCAAAAACTTTGTGTCCCAATCCAAAAAACAGTGAGATCTATAAATATTGTACTTTTGCACAGGGAACAATGAGATGCTTAATTTTTTCAATTTTTCCAAAGAAAACCTCCTAATGAAGAGAGGCACAAAAATTACGGAGTTAAAAACAAAACAAAGATACTGAGTAAATGAAAGAAAAAAACCTGACTTCCTATTTTTATAATTGTTGTAGAATTCTATTTTATAAAATTATTATACACTATCAATCATAAAATAACTTTATGATTGTGTACTTAGCCTAGTCAGGGTCTTGATGAAAACCTGTACAAGAGTTTTCAGTTAAAGAAAATAACTTCATTGTAAAACCTAGCAAAAATAATTTATCTGAAACTTGTATATCAACTTGGAAAAATGACAAGGAAGGAAAGAGAAGAGGAAATTGTAGACAATTCTCAGTCTCTCAGAGGATACCTCTCTGCATCAGTTCACAGAAATACTACAAAGACTTACTTTTTGTCATCAGACAGGTCAATGTTGGTCCCAAACTTTATGGTTTTAAAGGGTCCTTTCCTCCTCCTCCCAGAACTTAAAAAAAAGAGAGACAATATTAGAAACATGCCTTTTAAACAGAAATACTAAGTGGACATTAAAAATGACTTACTTATCTGAAGATGTAGATTCACTATCTGAGTGGTCTTTATGGTGACTTCTTTTCTCATTTTCTTCCTATAGATTAAGCAAAACACATTCTAGTTTAGTATTCCACAACCAGCTATCCTTTCCATCATGCAACTGTAAATTTCACACCTAGATTGATGGTATTATCTATGTCTGGAAGCTAAGTTTCTATAGGCCGCTTTCACATGAAAATTTCTTTAAAGACCACACATTAAATAAAAACCCAAGAAAAGTCAATGCTCACCACCCGACGGCATGGTATCTGCCCTCCTCAGCCAGTTATCTTAAGAGTTCTTTCTTAGTAACATTCTTCTCTAAGGGCAAAAATCTATAGATTCTCATTCTTGACCCGTTTTTAAGAGGAGAGAATTTTTTTTTTTTAAACTGAGAGGCCTATCCATCTTGATTATAAATTTTCTAAACTAGCAGCGGTGTGTGGGTATGTATGTAACTATAAGGGTAGAAGGTAAGATGTTCTCTATTCTTGATTATGGACAAATGGAAGTTCTCCCTGGGTTAAATCTTTTCTTCCACAATGAATTATACACAAATGGTAACACATTTACAACATTAGTAAGGAAAAGAAGTGCTGCATAAATATAGGTGCTTTTCAATGCAAACATTACTACTATTATTTACAATTTTGGGGTCACAGATACAGTATCTCAACACTGTCCTGTTTGAGTTAGCAATACTTAGTACATTTTGGCCTCCCTCCCTTTAAATGTATAGTTTCTAAACATTTGCGAAATTTTTCACATGTAATGGTCCATGCCATCAAAGCACACAAAAAGGCATCTTTTCTTTGGTTATGGATCCCATCCCATATAAATACTCTGCCTCTTAGGATCTTTGCTTTTCAACTCCTCCTCCTTTGGTGGCTTCTTGGGGGTGATCCCTGAATCTTGCTTATTATTTATCCTCTTCTGAACATAACACTACCACATAGTTGAAGTATCTCAAAAGTTTGTCCATATGAGATTCATACAGACAATGAATTCACTGCAGCTCATTAAAGCTGCAGGACAATTCTCATTAGATGAATTTCTCTGTAGGATATAGGGAATGGTAGTGAGAAAGAAATACAAATACACAATTCGCAGGTACAAACGTTGCCTTCATTTAAAATGTGAACTCAAGGCAGAATTTTAAACAGATAAGCAAATCTAATGAATTACAAATTAAAGACTTGCAGGCACATATTAAGTTTTAGCTGTAGGATATGTACAAAACAACTTAGTAGTACAGGCAAGTATTTGAATAATACATTTAATAAACTCATTTTTGTGGATGTTTTATGTTCACTTTGTGGGAGAATTCACAAAGTACTCATTATAGTGCTAAAGGATTTTAGTAATGATTCACTGCTGAAATGCCTGAGTCTTTTAATAATAATCCTCTGATTATTTTTCTGCTTTGGTTTTTAATTTTCCATATATTTTGAAATAATTTATGCCTCTCCCTCAGTTTTCTCCTTCAGACTGAGGCCAGTTAGAACAACACTAATGCTTCCTGGAGGCGTTATCTATCAGATAATACTAACCTGGTAGAGGAGAAAAATGGGAAGGCACAAGACTAGGAATTTTGCAAGCATAAAGCAATCTCAAGACTTACTTTATCCTCTGGTATCAGTGGCTCTCAATCAGAGGCAATTTTACCCTCCAAGGGATATTTGGCATGCATGGAGACCTTTCTGACTGTTAACAACTGGGGTAGACAGTAAGGGGTGAGCTATAGGCATCCAGTGGAGAGAGGTCAGGGATGCTACCAAACACCCTACAATATACAAGACAGTCTCCCACAACGATGTATTATCCAACCAAAATGTTAATAATGCCAAGACTGAGAAAGCCTGCTTTAAACAGAAACATCCCAGGGATGAGGGAGACATCTCACTAGACAGTAACAATATTTACTTTATCAACCCATAGGCTTGCTTTGACTTTACTAAGAGCAAACTGCATAGCACTTAACAGAGTATTTCGTGTAACTACAAAATAATGAGATGCTTACAAAAGAAATGTGCCCTTTCAAAATAAAAGAACATAAAACAATAAAAGAGTCTAAAAATAAAATAATGTTCAAGGAGTAAACACTTACCCTCAATGATTCCTGGAAGGAGGAGGCCTGGTACTGTGCATATTTAGCAATTGTAGTATGAGATCGATTACTTTCACAGTGCCAGATTTTCTTCGTTCCAGTAGGATCCCAGTTTTCATCTGCTGGCTGCAACAACTGTGTCCTCACTTCCACCATATGTTCATTGTTAGCTTCCACCAAAGTTTTGGTAGAGAAAAGTCCCAGGTCTTCATAAATAAATAAATGTAGTTAATAAATGAAAATTATATTTGGAGTAATACATTAAAAGTGCTTTTGTTAAGAAAAAAAAAATGTTTTATGGCACTCTATCCGGTTCCCCTAAAAAACAACCAGGGCCTCTGCACAACCTAAACTTCGTGCCAGGTTTACACAACTAGACAATGAAGCCCCAGACCTAATCATCATGCCACCAGCAAAGGCGGAATCAAGGGGTCAGGCACTAGTTAGGAGGCTACAGTCTTATTAGTAGCACTGAATTTTATCTACATTTTATATTAAAAATTATTTCATTAGATAACCTAAATCACAATTACATAATTAGACCAAAATAAAAGCTAAATTTAAAAACCACTAATAAATTGCCAGGAACCAATATTGTCATTGTATCTTCACACTATGGATTAAAAAAGTGATATACAACCACACACACACAGCGCCAGAAAATATTAAAATGAAAATGTGAAAACTGAAAAACTTAATAGAAATAAGTTTCTGCCAGTGCTTTAAGAGTCACAGATAGCAAAGGATATATAAAACTTTTCTTTTTCTTATTTAAAGCTTACCCAACTTAAGAGCTCCAGCAAGGCCACGTATTACTGTAACAGGGTTGTTTGGATTTGTACAAAATTGGTGTAATGGAGGAAAGAAAGCATCACGTTTATTTTCCAACTGTAAAATTAAAACATATGGTCAGATCTCTGGAAAACAGACCTTTTATTTAAATATTATGCCAAATTCATATTCATCATTTATTGCAATTTAACAATGCACTCTGTAATTTCTATTTTATATTTTACAGCATTTTATCACTATGTCTTTTGACCCTAAGTTGTAATTAGATAGTAACCACATACATTTCTCTTGTCCACTGTATCTTGAACAAAATATGCGGGAAGAAATGAAATATGCGGGAAGAAATAAAATTAAAACTTCAAAAAGCGATTTAAATATTATTCAATTTTAAAAAGGAAGAAAATCCTATCACATGCTACAATGTGGATGAACCATGAAGACACTATGTTCAGTGAGAATAAAGCAGTCACAAAAAGAAAAATTGTGTACAATTTTACTTATATGAGGTATCTAATGTAGTCAATTTATAGAAACATAAACTGGTGGTTACCCAGGGGCTGAGGAGACCAGGGGAAAAGGAGTTGCTATTTAATGGGTACAGAATTCCAGATTTGCAAGATGAAAAGGTTCTGGAGAAGTGTTCTGCAACAATAAGAATATTACTTAACACTACTGAAGTGTATAGTTAAAAATGGTTAAGATGGTAAATTTTATGTTATGTGGGCTTTTTCCTCACAAAAAGAGAAAAGAAAACCACAAAAGGTCAAAGTGTTTTTAAAAATAATACCAAAGTGAAAGCAAGCTGAAGAAGACCCATAAAAGATAAATCTTAATTTTGCATTTCCCTCTCTCAGACGTCACTTTAAAGGTTTTATTACACATCTATCCCAGTGCTTCTCTTACATACTAAAGGATCAATAAATACTGGTTGGAGGAAGGATTAATATGATACTATTTGGCCTCTAGAGGGCAAAAACAGGGCCAAATCCCTAAAAAACAAACTTTATAGTTTAACATTTTTTTCATTTGGGGTAGAATTGGGAGGATGGAAGGAAATGGGGTAGGAGGACCTACTTGGGAGAAATATAAGAGTTTCTTTGATTGAACTTTTATCAACTTCCTACATCAGATGTCTAAATGTTCTTAAAGTAAAACTAACATCCAGTTTTAAATAATCTTTTAACATTCTTTAAAAAAAAATGACATGCCTATTATCACATTTTATGTTCTCAAATGCCTTTTTTGAAGGTAATTAAAGTACATACTTTTGCAGATGCATAAGCAGAATGAATGTTAAAGGTCCATATAACTAGTAGAATGCAGATTTAAAACCCAGCGTAAGTTATACTTTTAGGTGGTCTTCGCCTCATACCATTCAAAATTGGGGGCAGTAAGAAGTACTTCTCACTACTCTAGTGTAATCATGGTTAATAACTGAGAAGGCATGTTTTAAATGCTATTATGAAGTCTTTCTGAATACATCTTTTTCCCCCCAAAACATTCAAGCTACTGCCAGTGATTTTAATGTTTCCTAAAGGACATCCATATTAACTTAAAGCAAGATCTTATGAAAGACAGGTACGTGCAAACACCGGTTTAATTTATTTCTAGTCAGTTAATTCAGACTCACATAAATACTAGGTGTAGGTGGATTCAACTTGTCCTTTGGCAAGGGAGGGTATGGTGAAGATGGTGGTCTTGGAGGTGGACATTTATCCAATAAAATGCTACTGTTAGATAAGCCATTTTTACCTAGATTCCTTAAAAAAAAAGAAGGGAGAATAAATCAGCTGTACATTTATTTAGAAAACAGAAAAAAAAATCCTGAATTAAGTACTAATTAAGTTACTGGGCAGCTGCACAAATCCAGGAGATTTGGATCTATCAGAAAAAACTAAGAACAATTATTAATTTCAGCAAATATGTAGTTTCATTCCTCTATTTTCATTGAAGAAAAGTAATAGAAAAAATACAACACATGAATTATTGATGACATTCCTTATTTTGCTCATAACTTTCCAATTTATTTTCCTCACCCAAAGAACAAACACGAACTCCAATTTCCTCTCCGCCATCTTCTACCATCAGAGTCTTTCCATTAAACGTTAAAATAACTTGACCAAAAAGGTCTAGATAATAGTAAAAATCAAATATGTCTTTCTTCCTATGTCTCATCTCAACAATTATAACCAGAATATCTTTGTGATAATTCTCAAACCGAAAAGATCTGTACCTTTTTTTCCTCTCAAATCTGGACAGAATTTTCTGTGTAACTCCCTAATAAAATTCAGCAAGACTCCAATCTACTAAACTTTATGAAAATTATACCAGTTATTTTTAATGAGGCATAAAACTGCTATCTATTCTCTGATATTCTATATAATTATTACTTAGTAGTAACTGGGGTTTCTTTTCCTTTAATGGGTTAAAGTATCATGTTTGTTAAGTTATAAATTCTTCAAATATGGCAGAATTATTTCCAAATTGTAACTCTTTTAGTGTTAAAAAAAATTTTTTTTCCCTACTTCTTAAAGTCTATACCCAACTCAGAAAATCAGCAAGATATAATTTTGAGCTTTCAATTCATTCCAGGTTAACTTCACCCAATTATTACCAAGTTCAAAAATAATCAATGCATTAAAATAGCAAGTACTTTAACACTACAATTTTAGTTAAGAATTTGAAAATTGTAATTATGGCGGGGAGTTAAATTTAGTAATTTTCCTTACTGAAGAAGGAATTAGCAATTTTCATCATATATTATAGAATACAGGTTGAAACAAAATTTTCCTTATCTTGCTATGTTTTTGCCAAACTGAAAAAACCCCTTACAAATCAGCCTCTTTTGGTTGGCATTAATGAAAACTAAGGCTTGAAATTCCACTGCTACAAACTTTTGAGATGTTTAACATTAAACAGGATCATGGATGTCACTTTCTTAATTTCTTCAACTGTAACTCCAAGTAAAAACAAAAGCGTTCATGGCAGGTCTCAAGGAATGAATTAAGTTTAAAATAACTGATTTTTTTTTAAAAGTATGTGAAATAGTTATTAAAGTGAAATTTTAAGTTCAACTAACAATTAAGGCTAAAGGTTAAATAAATGAATATTCTATCACAACATCTCTCAACAAAGCATAAGTGTCCTGTACATTTAAAGATAGGCATTTAAGCTTTTAAATTTAGGTATAAAATCAGTACTAATTTATAAATTCCATGGAAGTAGAAAATAGGTGGTTGACACTGGTAAAGAAACAATTCGAGTATTATCATTAAATCAATGCAAAATAAACATTCACTTACAATATACGTATAAATAATTAGTTTGCATGCTGAATTGTATATCTGCCACTCTTTAACTTTGGGATTTAAACAAAATATGACTCCGAATACATAAAATTTGTTTTCTAGAGCAGGAGATGAATGTACAATATAGTAAATGATTAATATTTTAAGGAATTGGAAGATATGGACCATACATTTAAACTGTACCATAAAAGAACATCTCATACTAATTAAATGTGGCACCAAAATTTAAGCTTCTACAACATTCTGGACATTTAGAGATGAGACTAGAAAACAGGGTATGATCGATTAGCAGAATTCTGCCTCCATCATTTCTACAGTTCTGTAACAAAAGAAAAAAGGGAAATGGGAAAGTATAATAATGAAAAATACAGCTGCTTTTATTTTAAAATAGAAAAGAAAAAGGTGGAGAAAAGAAAAAAAAAGGTGAGACATGACTAAGGGAACGGATAGTGATTGAACCACCAAATGTTGCAATTACAATTTTAAACCATAAGAGCAGCAAAGGTATTGTAATCGCCTTTTGATGTATAGCACTAAGATGAACCAAACAAGAATAACCAACATCTTAAAAAGGAACTATATATGTGAAAATAAGAGGGTAGTCAGAATAAACCATATAATCAAATTGAATCTAGCAGTTTCCTACTGTATTACAAACACGGACTCCCTGCTTTTTTGAGGCCAAGTCTGAAACAAACAGGAATTTCCCTGAAGGAATTCATGTAGGTAGTTGTCTATATGGTGACTATAAGCTTTTTCCATTGAAAATACACTTATCGGTCCTAATGCAAAGGACAGAACTGTACATAACAGGAAAAGACTTTTATCTTATGAACATATAAGTGTCCAACACTGTTTATAGTACTTCAAAGCTAGGGTAATGAAACTAATATAACAACGCAAAGTGGAGAAAGGCATTGAAAAAAGAAAATACTATCCCATTTTAAATCCCTTTCTCTCATTTTGAAACTTTCCCCAAGCAGAGTAGGAAACAATTAGTCATTGCCCAATTCTTTACAATATTGGCTTAAACTTGTTTCAAATTTACCCATCTCATTTGGTAGGTAAATGAAGAAGTGCTCTGTAAGTAAACCAATCTACGCTTCAATTATCTTTGGTTATGAAGCTTCTAGACCAGAGACATCAAGTCTGTTGAGCCTAAGTCACTTTCCTCTTCCAAGTTCTGGAATCCTGCCCAGCAGACAGGACATCACCAACAGAACAGAAATGGTAAACCTGATGCCTATCATTTGCCATCTTGACTTTTCTCTAAAGATTTGTATCTCTAATTTATCAGAGCATCTTTGGTCTCTTCATTAATAAACCAAGGCCTATAGTTACTGAAATAACCCAAGCAACCCTAGGGATCCATAGTGTTTTGATGTATCAAGCCACTTACAACTGTGTGTGTGTGTGTGTGTGTGTGTGTATGTATATATAAGATGCATGATATGCATATATATGTATATATAAAAACTCACACATATACATAATTAAGTCTCTGTAAAAAGGCAAAATTGTCTTTTAAGAGCTAAAAGCGAAAAATAAAACTGTAAGAATGCGCTTAAAAATTCTGAAGTAAATACTTACATATACTTAAAAGGTGAGATGGAAGATTATAATCTTTAATATATTAAGAAACACAGTCACACCTAGGTACCCACAGCATATGACTTTATTAATAAAAACTTAGGGTAACTGCTACTATACACTGCTTAGAACTTGCACTTCCATGGAACTCTTTGACATTATTCCTCCAGAATACCCTTAGGTCCCATACAGTATATGATCTTAGTTTTGGACCTCTAAATTTTCCCCCATTTTCTAGCACCTGTCCCGAGATTAGAGAGAGTGGAAGAGGGAGGAAGGCCCTGCTCCAGCAGAGTGGTGGCAACAGTATCCAGGAAACAGGACAGAGGCCCTAAGAACTGAGTGGGGAGCGGGGAGAAGGCAGTACAAATTGGCAGTGAGCCAAGGCACTGTGTTTAAGTAGAACTCAGGATAACATTTGATCTGGACATTAAAGCACACCTACTTTTTTTTTAGGCCCAGAGTTAAAATGCATGTCAGTGTAACATCTAGACAAAAAGACTAACATAAAAAGCTTAAATCAAATTTTAGAAATTCAGGAATCTTACTATATGCTTTAGAAGAATTTGGTCTGATTTAGAGATCATCCAATGTGGTTTGACGTGAAAAATGAAAAATCTTGTAAGACAGTTAAGATTAATTACAGTAGTTACCATGTTGTAGGCCACTGGGGAAAATGCTGCCAACAATGTGGACCCAAAAGACAACACAAAGAAAATAATAAAATATGAAAAAGATTTAATTTTTGTCTATGTCAGAATAAAGGTTAATAGATGAATAGTGAAAAATGGACAGAAAATGCAAAGTAATGAAAAATAAAACACAGACCAAAAGGTATTTTAAACAAACTCAAATACTCTTTAAAGAAAAAGAACTATAGTGTATTTACAGTAGTGAAGTTCCAATATCGCTTAATTATCACTCTTACATACAAAAGTAATTCTCCCTACTCCATTGCTTCTACCCCATGCTCCTCCCAAGCGGCAAACTACAGGGTAACATTTAACTTAATCTTATTTATTAGTGACAAACATTTAATGGTGGATCCATAATACCTTCTAATAATCTAAATAGTAGAAAGGATAACCAGACTTCCAAACTCCAATAAATGAGATGCATAAGCACTGGTAGCTGCACAAAGAGATTTATAGAGATGCTAAGTGAGAACAGTTTTGAACCTTAAAATGCATTTAAAAAGAATACTTTTCACATCTGACACATTAAAAGGTCAATGTAGGGCGCCTGGGT